ATTGAAATTTCTGAGTTTTTTGATAATTGATTTTTTGATGAATACATTTTTGTTAACATAAATGGACATTAAAGCCTTGCCTTTTCTGAAAACGTTAACTATAATGGTCACTAAAATTATCAGATTTACAGTAATACATGATGTAATGTCTGTTGTGGTGGTACATTGACGGAACAGAATATTTAGTTGACCATGCTGATGGTGAAACACAAGCTTTTCATGCCTCAAAATCACTCAGAGCTTTCTCTTGCTGCTATGGTAGTCAGTACGTCTTAGTCAAACCTGATCACTTCAACCAATGGAATGCCTCAAAAAGTCATTTTTAAAAAGGCTCAATGTTACTCTTTCAGAAAATGATATCAATGATTATATTATGCTAGACACTGTGGTACCAAGGTAATTTTTGTACTTTGTTACTATAATTATTTCAAGTGGCATTTAAGTCTACAACCACTTAAGTAAAGTAACGTTTTGTGTTGGTAGCTCTGCTGCTCACAACTTTCTGACATTGCTTGGCAGCAAGTACAATCATGAAGTGTTGTCTTAGATGACAGGATTAGTTCCTGAAATGGTTTTATATGTAGGATTCAAATATAAGTAACTACCTACTCAACACACATTGTCAAGTACCAGTTGTTTATGAATATAATTGTAACAAATCTGATCAAAGTGAAAGTGAAGCTGAAGACCCTGATGAAAGCACATGTAATTATGATGAAGAATGAACCATCTTGTTAATACCGAATCCAACAGTATAGCATTAAATGAGTCAATTGCTGCACTACGTTATTCTGATTTTAAAGGTATGACATATCTACCAACATTATAGGGGCAAAAAATGAATTTATTATGTATGTACATCTAGGCGATTCTTTAGATCATGATACCTTATAGCGCTTTAATTTGACAGAGTTTTATTTTGGCGATTGGCGGCTTGCAAGCAGAATTGCCAATATTAAAACTGCCAATTATCAATCCGCATGCTCAGTAATGCACGTGTGGACAAAAATTGCCAAATTAAAAACCGCTTCTTACAGCAAAATCGCCAAAATAAAGTGCCACCAAAATAAAGCACTATACGGTAATAGCTTTACAGAAAATAAACAATATGATAGTTAGTTGATGATTAAACTGGATTCTTTACACATTGAATATGTGTGTGTACATTTAGATGACAATGATTGTAACACAAGGAGTGGTTTCAAAATAGTAGGAAATAATCTTGATAAAAACATCAGAAGATAAGTGAAGCTGGTTCAGCAGACTATATCATTTCACGGCTTCCATTACTATGCTGTTAGAGAGAGGGTAGACCAGTCAGGACTAAGCGATGATCATAAGCCTATTTACCATCTACATGTATCAGAATTACAAATTCATTTTTTATTGCCATCTAATGTTGATCATTTAACAATGATAAATAATTTTCCCATGTATGTGAGTCATGTGTTCCTGTAGGAGTTGTCATACTTCTCAAAAACATCTGATAATGCTAGTAATTGGCACATAAGTCATCAATACTCAAAGGAAATGTCACAGAAGTCTAAAGTAGTGAGTTTATAATAATTAATAAACACAAATGACTTGTAATTTTAGATCAAACTTCATGTTATTGACAGAAATGAAAATTGTACTGAGGAAATGACTGATAAAACACTGGAAATGCATCAGTAAGTTGCAACAACAAGTTACAACACAAACAAGTTCCATGGACGGAAAGTTACTATGGAGCACCAATGAGCTGAAGCAAAAAGCAAATTACAGTAAAGAAACTAATGCACACTGGACTCAATCTGTTTTATATTATGCTTGGTAGGACCAAGAGTGGATAAGGAGGAGGGGAGAGTGTCTAACTGCCCTATGCTGCTAGTGATATGTGCGCGTAGAAGTTTCATGGTTATTATTTGTACATTCCCGCATACCTTATTTAGCACAATAAGTGATAACTGCACTGAAGCCATAGTTGGGCGTGTACTTAAGTTAACTGTAATATAAAAATGGCTGCTGAACTGAGCAGCAAGAGCCTGGACCAGGGACCTTGGAAACAGAATTTGACCTCACCTTGTTGTACCAGTCACTTTGTACCACTCTGAAGAGATTTGTAGTTTACAAGCACACAAACCATGTTTGTTATTGACACATGAAAAGCTCTTGATCAATGATCATCCTCCTTTAGTCTGGTCCCTTGGGACCCACAACATCAAGAGTAAGGATAATAATAGAAGTGAAAGAATATGTGGTACATGTACTTTTGAGACGGGCTGTTAACTGCTGTTGATCTTAAAAATGAAATATTACAGATCTGAGTTCACTGGAGCAGAGGCTTCTGACTCTTGGCTCCATCTCCTCTTTTTTGATGCTTTAGGGCGCTTAGGTATAGTGGCATGGCGCTCATCAAGATTAGATGCTCTCAATCTGTTGTAACAGTCATGATCATCTGGATTGTGTAGTTCTGACTCTTCCTCTTGAAACATCGTGACTACACGTGTGGGTGGGTGCACCATATAGGTTATTAAAAACACACCCATTTACTATCATGGCTGTTGATGTTTAAACAGGTCGAAGAAGGTGCTAAACAAACTGTGAAAGACTTCTACGCGCACATATCACTAGCAGCATAGGGCAGTTAGACACTCTCCCCTCCTCCTTATCCACTCTTGGTAGGACACATCCCTTTCTTAGAAATTTTTGCAGCAACGAAAATTTTAAACGAGTTCTTATTGTCTATCATACATCTCTACTTTACATGTATCACCATCAAGTCTTCATTAAATTTTGACGTCCCAAATGGTGGCCCATTATTATATGTAGGTGAACACTGTATCTCACACTGATATTCGTGTGATTCGTTATTCACAAATCTAGCGGTCTATTATGGGACACTGCCTGTATCTGGGCTGAACAGTACGTCATCTGGATGCTGGAATGCCACTATTAGTCAGCATATACAAAATCTGGTTTATTCTGAGTCATACTGATCCACATGCATTCATTTGACACAAGCCAATAGCTACTACTAAGACAAAGAGGAAACGAATAGTTTAAAGAAATGTGTAGTCAGTAGTGGAGAGTTTCAATACAAAAGACTTGAGTGAACATCGCAATTGTCTAGGAATCAGCATTGAATGTGACAGAGAAAAGAAATCACTATGCATCATAAGCAATATGCATAATTAATGTAACTGAGAAGTTTGGCCCCTCTAATTGTAAGACAATGTCTATCCCTGATGACTTCAATGTAAAATTGACACAAGATCATGAAAGACTTCCAGTTGAACTTACAGAGTATCAGTCTATCGTTAACAGTTTATTGTATGTGGCTATAGCCACAAGGCCAGACAGATCAATTCTAAGCCATCACAGATACAGTTGACAGGTGCTAAACGAATCCAGTGCTACTTACTTGAAAGGAACAAGTGATCTAGTATTAAAGTTTCTATAATCTCAGTGAGGTTGTAGTCCCATAGGGTGCTCAAATGCAGACTGGGAAGAGGAAAATGATGATCGCCATTCTACTAAACCTGGTAACTTATTTCAACTAGAAGAGGGTACCAATTCGTTGCTAAGGCTCGTAAGAAGTAAACTCTAATTGCATTGTTCAGTTCAATGGCTGAGTACAATGTACGCCGCACTAAGTACCTTTGCTCAAAAAGCAATGTGGCTTAGATGACTCTTAAACAATCTGCAGTCCCATCTGGTCCCATTATTATAAATAAAGATAATCGGAGGGCAATTGCTATCATAACAAATCATATTGCTTACAAGAGGAACAAACACAGACATACAGTAATTTCTTCAAAAATTCAGCACTCTAATTTCGAAAATAAATAATTATTTGGGAGAAATAGTACCTAAAGTAGTCTAAATGTTGATCACAAAAATTATCCTTACAACATGATCTAATTTCGTCAGGATTCTTTATGTTCATCTTCAATGGCAATGGAGTGGCAGGTAAATAGCAACTTGGCAGACTTTCATGATGCACTCACGCACCACCATGCTGCCTCTAAATTCATCAAAAATAATTATTTAGGCTTAATTGTGTCTGTTTGACGTCTAAAATTTTGTTCTCAAAATTACCTGCCCCAAAACAGTGATGAAAAATTTTTAGAGAAATGACAGTATGCTACACTATCACTTTAATTAAGAAGCAATTGTGATTGCAATACATTACTGTCCTAGTGAAGATATAATTGCAGATTTACTAACCAAGCTAATGTAAAAAGGAAACTTTGAGGCTCTCCACGGTCATACTTTGATTAAGAAATGCTGTATAGATCTTTCTTATAATAACTCAATGTGAATTAAGTGGGAGTATCATTATTATAGTAATTAATATTGTGTTTATAATTTGTAATAATAGTAATGTGCGTCTAGTTGTACTACCTTGACTACTTTTATATATAATCTTCTCTTTCCTGATATTTTAGAGCTATTAGTGTGGTAATTGTTACAATTCTATTGTGGTTTTGACATGTACATACAACAAACAAACAGGTTGGATGCCTATATATTTTGTGTAATCTTTTCAGTCAATTTAATTTTTAGTGATTTGTAATAAAACCAGTCAATTTATACTCCATTAAATCTTTATTTACAATCCAAACCAGTCAATATAATTTTGTGAATAAGATCTGGATCACTTTCATGGAGCAAAAGTGGGGGCTATTTTGAAGAGGCATTAATCATACTTACTGTTTAGGTATCAATCTCATGAAGTATTTCTAAGAATTTGTCGTAGAATTGAAAGACACTGAATTAATACAGTACAAATACTCAGTGTGCATAAACAGAATGTGCACAAAATGCATGTGAACCACAAAAACACAAAAATTAATCCCACAAATAAAAAAAATTATTACAAAACTACAAAAAATTAATGCCCTTAAATATTGTACTGTAGAGCAAGATACTTTCCACACATTACAATAATGAAAAGATTTGTGTGTTCTTTAGTGTTATAAGTTATATGGGTGTTAAACAAGGGATTAGCAACTTACAGTTTGCAGAAATGTTTCACTAGATAGTGAAGAAATACATGTACTAGTTGACTGCATGCGCTGAGTCAACGATACAGAAGAAACTGCACTAGAACGAGATACATTTGCTGCTGCAGCAGTAGTATTAGTATGGTTAAAATCAATACTATTAGAAAATGGCTTCATAGGATCTAAAAAGGTAAGAAATACAACTAATTGCAAAAATTTTAACGTACCAGGTGAAACAAATGGCTTCCCTACATTAGCTCTCGCCACAGGCATATTATAAACAGGAGCTTGACTTAAAATTTGATGCATCTGAGACGAAGAACGCGGCATTTCCTAAACAAACATTAATAATAAAATGAACTATCATATTTCACAGATAAGACGGTTGATTATTTATTAGTAAAAGTAAAAATAAAAAAGTTCAAGGTGCTATAAAACTTAAAACCATCAACAAACTATATGCATTTTGGAGTTACCTCAAATAACTGCAGGTTACTACATGTATTTTGGGTAAAAATATTCATACATGCACCTACCTGAGCCTACAATTATTTGTGTGTAAAAATTTAGCTATATTAATTGAAACAATAGCCACCAAAATAATTACTATTCATTATAATGGTTGTTAATTTAGCAGGAAGTAAAATGGTGGCTATAAAAATGGAAGTTTTAAGCAAATAACAGCCACAAATGGTCAGCTACAGCAGCAATAAGCGTTCAAATACAGAATCTTCTTTATTCATGCAAAAAAATAACTAAGAACTTGATGCCTGTAACTTATTTACTATAACAAAAGCACTAAAGTGAGTAACCTTGCCACAATCTGTATTACATGTAGTTTGTTTGGTTAGAATAAATGCATGAAGTGAGAATAAAACTCAGTGGAAGTTCTGAGACAAAAAGGAACCCTTCCCAATGTTTGCTGCACTGCTGCAACAATGTAAAGGTGTGGCTGCAATGAAGGTGTGGCTCAATCAAGCCATGCTCCACCTGCTCACACAGTAATGGTGGCACTTGGCCATAAGTGGTGAAGAAAGCTTCATCGAATTTCAACAGTTTAACATACATTTGTTAGGCTCTATTTTCATATTGAGTCTTTGAAATTTAAAGACTCTGTCTGCTACTGTTGGAGAAGAGAGCCTAGTTTAAACTCACAAGGTATAAATGATTGGCCTATTATGTTTTTAAAATGAAGACAATTGAAGCAATTTCTTACATATTAATTAAAAACGAGGCTTTGTTCTATTGTTTCATTTGTCTTGCTGCTTTTAGCTTCAACTACAAACGAAATATACTTGTACCGACTGCATTTGGCAACATTGTGAGCTTTTTCTAACTTGGGAAAGACAAGTCAATCATTTTCCAGACAAAAAATTAGGGCTGAAACGAATAGTACTTTTCACTATTCAAATAATTGGCATGCTAAACGAACGAATATTCGAATAATTGAACTGTTATTGCTGAATGATTATAAACTACCTTTTTGGTGTTAAACTTTTCAAAGTGATAACAAAGAGGGCTTTTTTGAGATTGAGAACCACTTTCTCTGGCCACAGCATCAGTATTTAGCGAGTTGGTAAGTAAACAGACCAAGAAACAGACTAAGAAGCAGCTGGTGCAGGTGACACACGGTGGGCATGGTCAATAATTTTTTGCAATAACCATTAATAATTTTATTAGGCGAATAGTTCGAATAGGAAAAAAACTATTCGAATATTGCTTTAACGAACGAATATTCGAATATCTCACTATTCGTTTCAGCCCTACAAAAAATAACTTTTTCTAGAGCCAATGTTGATTATAAAACTCTTTAGGATTTCACAAGAAAGCAGTGTCAGGTCAAAAGTGGAGGTCAAGCAAACACACACACACAGACAGGACGACTGCCTTACCCTCGCTTCACGCCCACACAAGGGTTGGGTAACTATGATAATAGTTTACTTCCTTAAACATTATTCTACATTCTTCAGTGTTCAGTGCTTATTAAAAGCATTTAGTTAAAAAACTAACATTAGTGATTCTCTGCCGATATTACTAAATTAAAGTAGATGCCGGGGTTGTTGTAATTCTAATTTAATCATTACAAAATAGGATTAACAATCATTAGCAATCATTAGCTCATTCTAATTGTAATTTTAATTATAAGGATTATGCTATTTAATTGTAATACATAAATAAAACAACAAGTAATCTAATTAGGTAAATAAGGTAATCATTGTATACTGTATAGTTACTGTACATGGGAGCCCATGAAAAAAATGGACTTAAAGAGTAAACAGTGAAACATGACACATAATCACAGTCTCCTCACTTTGCGACGTGACATATTGACTGTTATCATCTTACTCAAGAAACTTTGAAATCTCCATAAACTAAATGCTATCAAATTAAATTACTAACTTTATTACAAATCATTCAAAGTAATTGTGATTCTAAGATTGATTCGGTCAATGGTAAAAGCTAATGCCAATTCAAATCATTACATTGCCAATGATCAAATAATTGCAATCATAATGATTACTGTCTTTAAATAATTACAACAACCCTGGTAGACTCAAACAATAGTAAGCTTATGGTAGTTAAAATATATTCGTGACAGGTGTTCAATTGGACCAGGCATATACAGTATGTCATAACATATTTATGGCTACAGTTACTTGCGGTAATAAAAAACTCAATTAAAAACAATTAAAAACAAGATGCTACTTTATTGAAAATGGCATAATATTGCAGCAAACAATGGAGGGAGAAGTACCGTATAGCCAACAATTTTCGAGGCTTAAAATTTCGTGATTTATGAAAATTATGGGGAAATTTTAAATTCCATGAAAAATATTTTCATGATTTTTTATTTTAATAATAATTTAACACACCCATTTTAATTGAAACATGGCGGATGCAATGTTTGAGATGGACTGTTGTGTCAGGGGGCACCACATCTACAAGACAGTGTGGACACCAGTGATTGGGAAGATTTTAAGCTGTGAAAGGGAAGAGGACAACTTACATGACTTGCTTGCAGTTTGTGTTACAAAACCAGGAGAAATCCAGACAATTGGGCATCTTCCGAGACTAATCAGCTCCACAGCTTCATTGTTTATCCAAAGAGGAGGAACAATTCAATGTACAGTGGCAGGAGGACAAAGATATTCTGTAGATTTAATTCAAGGGGGCCTAGAAGTTCCATGCACACTTCAATTTGTTAGTCCTAACACAGCTCTTTTGAGCCGTGTAAAAAAATTACTGTTCTGTTGCGAGGTTTCAACCACCCAATCTACTGATATTTGACATAAATCCACTAATGATGTTCAAGTGCCAAAGAAAATAAAAATAGAAGATAATG